CTGGGATTTTAACATGTTTAATTAAATCATCTAAAACTCCCCACTAAAGTTTAGAAACCCATTTTAGCCCCTGAAGTTCCAAAAATTACCAAAAATACACCTACTGGTGTATTTCAACAAGGGAGTCACCTCCCCTAAAGAGGGAGCCGGCTCCCCCTCATGGAGAGCCGGCTCTACCCTTTGTGGAGCCAGCTCTCCCTCATGGAGAGCCGGCTCTCTCTCTTCTAGAGTCGGCTCCCTCCTTTGGAAAGCCCGCTCTCTTTTTCCCAGAGAGCCGTATGCTGTAACCCATCATCTTCCTCGCCTTTGGCGATGTGCAGAACCCTCTGTAATGTTTTTTTTAAGGTTCCTAGGGGTTCAATCCATGTCCCAAATAATCCCAGAAACTCATAAAACACAGTATACATCATTAACAACAATTTAAAATACTTAAAATGAAACAATTGATACGATACATCAATTTTCAATTAACAACACATAATACAATTAAAACTCTAAATTAATATGCATACAAGATCAGTTTTAATGTCCGATTAAATCCTGGAGATTATCTAGGCATGCACAGAACACAAGTCTAAGGGAAGGAGTAAGAGAAAGAACTTGCCTTTAAGATTTCGGATTAAAATCTCAATGTCGTCTTCCTATATTTTCTGGCAAACCTTGACTGTTCTCAACTCCTCTATTGCCCTTGGTTCAACCCACGAGTAAGCTTCAATAACCTCTCGTTGGTTCAGCCTTTGTTCTTGGCCAAAACCCTAATTCGTTCTCTCAGTTTTTCTCACCTCTCTGTTCTTCTCTGCCTCCACTGTTACGTGAATTGGGTTCTAAAACCCTTGGCAGACACAACCTTACATATATATAGTATAGGCTAACCCTAATCCCAAACCGATATTAAGTCGGCTAACTTAAGGACAAAAAGAAAAATATATATATATATATATAATTACATATACATAAAATGTCCTATACATGATTTCATATATATATACTGAATAATGATACTAATTTTACCATTAATAATAATAATTAATAATTAAATGAACCTTATATACATATATACCCATATATATATGTATAATCATCCATGGGTACTAACTATACCCATTTAATCTCCTATCCAAGTAATCCATACTATCCAAGCCCAACTCCTTAAAATAAGATAAACACTTAAAAACAATTAATTTCTTCTAAACACTTAGCACATAAAATAGATAACACACATCATTAATCACATTATTTAATTAATCAATTTATTCAAATAAAACAATTAGTTCAATTTCCACATAAGCATACCATTTAAATAAAACAATTAAACAAATAACCAAAAAGCAAATAATGAATTTAAAAATGCAAATAAAATAAATAAATAAATTCCGAGACTATCCTTTCAAAATTAGGGGTATTACAAATTTAGTGTGCAAGTAACGTTCTTGCAGAAGTGAACAACTTCAAGTATTTAGAACCAGTTCAACTTTTTTCTTGAACAAGTTGGACATGATTGTAACTCCAATTAAACCAATTTATGAAAAGTTGAACCAGTTGGACGTGTAACCAAAAGAGTGCTATTTTAGAGTTGAAAACTGATATGGTAAGTCATTGCAGGCAAGTTGGAGAATACTTGTTCAACAAGGGATTGGGTTTGAAGACTCAATAAATAGAGATGGGTGTGAGAAGTTTAAAGAGAGACAGAAAAGAGAAAAGATGTAAGGGGTTCAAGAGTGAGTGTTGAGAGAAGAAGGGAGAGTATATATAATTCCCGTGTATAGAGATGCATCCTTAAAGAGATGATGAGTGAGTGAGTAGGGTTTTGACATCTAGTTGTATATTCTCTTCCTTGGTTCATAATGGTGAAATCTCTCTCTCCACGGACGTCGAGAGTTGGGTGAACCTTGTAAAATATTGTATTGTGGGTGATGTGTATGATTGTTATCTACATATATGCTTGTTAATTGATGTGATAATGATGTTTCAGCTGTGTGTGATGAAAGAGGAATTTAATTCTCAACACCAGTTGACCATGGAGTGAGTTGGAGGGAGTTAATTATCCCCAACATGCAGGCATAAGTAGTAGTGTTTCATCAAGTAATAGAATATATGTGGTTGAAATAGTGTATCGACCATAATTATGGAACTTGCGAGAAATAGAATAAGAGATTCTAAACTAAATTCTTAGTTGTCCATAATTTTATGAAGTTATGACTTAAATGCATACAACTAACTATCTAGTAATATATATATACTTTGTAACTATGGTCTAAGTTACACAATTCTTCTTATTGGGCATGGCGCGCCTTCGCTCTCATTCCTACTTCGTATAATTTAGATTTTTCCATTTTTTTGCGAGAGTTAGATTTTGCCGTTTTCGTGCTTCTGCTCTCGCTCTACCTCCCTATGTGAGACTTAGATTATGGGTTGTTTGGAGAATGACGGTAAATTTTTATAAATCTTTTAAATTTCATATATGATTTTAGTGATATATAAACACTGAATTGAATGACTCGTATTCTCTTATAATAGATAGAGATAATTTGTAAAGATAAGATGTAAGATAATAAATAGCATATTTATTGCCAATATTTTGGTCCAAATTTTTAACCCACACAACTTATTACATACCTACTTAATTATATATTTTTTTTTTTTTCCTTTTTTTTTTTTGCCATATTTTTTCAAGAAATTTTTTTTTAATAAAAAATTTGAATTGTACTCATATGTTTCTGAATCAATCATTTTTTGGTACCATATTTTACCATTGTACCATTTTTGTCAATGTATTGCCTTGTTCATCTTCATTTTATCGCACAGAAACAATACATTATTCAGGTGTATAAATCATTGGGTTAATTTAATAAAAAAACATATTAGGAAGCCTTAATTACTAGAATGTAAAGAGTCAAAAATAATCTCATTCAAAAATAGTTTAGGCAAAAGTAATAACAAATATGTCAATTTTTACTATTCATGAATACATGGAGACTAAATAATCCCTAAGTACCTTTTGTAATTTTACTAAATAACCCTTGTTCTCTTTCCATCTCATAAATCTACTTTACCAATTTATTACTCATCTGTCACTATTCTCCTTTTCTCTTCAAACCTAAGGCACCCCATTACTCCTGTTTGTCAGTCGCTCACCGGAATTAACATCCTCACTGTTGGGTCTGCTTTGCTGAATAATGTAAAAAAATGTACTTAGACAAAGGAAAATAACGACTATAGTAATGTAAAACCTTTACTAGAATAATGTAAAATATACATCAAGCAACTCTTAAAATTGATCTTCTATAGATGGTTGTACCTCTTCACCAATTTGTTCGTTGTAACTCCACAGGTTGGAATGTTGAAATCGTTCGATTTGGTCACTAAAGTTTGGTTGTTGTTTGCTCATAGTTTGTCAAAATCAATGGAGCTTTCCTGGTCAAAGCTCAACAAAATTAATGGAGCTCACTGTTGGGTCTATCTTCGCCAACGTGAAGGTCACTGCTAGGTCTCTGTAACTTCACCGACTTGGTCTTTATCGCTTCTTGGCCGTTGTTTGCTCGAAACTTGTCAAAATCAATGGAGCCCATTCACTACACTCATGTAAAATGTTCACCGCATGTAAAGCTGCGTTTACTGAATAATGTAAAATCTTTAATGAATAATGTAAAACTTGTACTTAAAAAAGTAATAATGTAAAACATTTACTGAATAATATAAAATATACAAGTAACTCTCAAAATAGGTCTTCAATGAAGTTATGTGGTTGGATGGTTGTACCTCTTCGCCGGTTTGTTCATTGTAACTCCACGGGTTAGGATGTTGAAACTGTTCAGTTTGGTCACTAAAGTTTAGTCGTTGTTTGCTCAGAGCTTGTTAGAATCAATAGAGCTTTGTTGGTCAGAGCTCACTATTGAGTCTTTCTTCATTGAAGTGAAGGTCACTGCTAAGTCTATGTAGCTTCACCGATTTGGTCTTGTTGCTTCTTGGTCGTTGTTTGCTTAGAACTCGTCAGAATCAATGGAGCTTATTCACTAAACGTTCACCGCATGTAAAACATTTACTGAATAATGTAAAATCTTTATTGAATAATGTAAAACTTGTACTTAAACAAACTAAAACTGTAACTAATGTAATGTAAAACCTTTACTGACTAATGTAAAATATATAGCAAACAACTCTCAAAATAAGTCTTTAATGAAGCTATTCAGTTGGATGGTTGTACATCTTCGCCGGTTTGTTCATTGTAAGTTCCCAGATTAGGGTGCTGAAACCATTCGGCTTAGTCACTAAAGTTTTGGCGTCATTTGCTTAGAAAATGTCAAAATCAATGGAGCTTTGCTAGTCAGAGCTCACCGGAATTAATGCAACTCATTTTTGGGTTTATCTTTGCCGACGTGAAGGTCACTATTGGGTCTCCGTAATTAACACTTCCTAATGTTTTTTTATTAAATTAACCCTAAATCATTTATTAGTTTAAATTTTTATGCTTTGCATTTATTATAGTACACTATCCTATCATCCGTACTGTTAGGCTAGACAGCTCAAACTCATATCATTTGCCATTTTTGAGCCACAACTAGGAAACTCCGAATTAGCGAAGTTTGGCCCTAGCATAATTGGAGTGAAGTGTCGCTATATTTTGTTCTTTTTGTTATTGTTCAAAAGCTATATCAAAGTGCTTTGAATTAATTTTTTAATTTATTTATTTATTTATTTATTTTTTTCCTCACCAACAAACAATCACGGAAAAGAGTATCTAACAATCATTGGCTAAATGCTCCACTCGTAATCACAACATTTGGCTACGAAAGCATTTCTCTTTACGATTCGTGCTTGTGTGTTGTACTCGTGTCATGTTACAAAATTGATATATGGGTCGAGAGACCTTGACACGAAATGCACAATTACTAATAAACATAACGCGACACGACCTATCCCATGCTACTTGTTTAATAAACGGATCATGAACCTTTAAGTTTGGCACCATAGCTTTTCTATGGTTGGGATGCATGAAAAAATCAAAACTAAAACACGGGCTTGTCCTTTGATTGCTTTTCGTGAACTATACAAGATTTCAAACTCGTTGAACAGAATCGACCACCTTGGAAGCCACCCAGAAAGAACAGGTCTTGACATGACGCACTTGAGGGGGTCAGCCTTTGCAATCACATGCACTGTGTGAGCCAAAAAAGAGTTTTTGAAAAGCAAAAGAGACATGCAGAAAATGATAGGAGACATTGAAGCCTCAATCGGTGGCATATTCTGAAGAAAATACAAGCCGAAACGAACCTTAAATGGATAAATAATGAATGTACTGTCCCGTAATATAAATTACAATCTTCCAGTAATAAACGCCCATTGATGGCTTCCACAACTGATGGATCCTCACTGAAGAAATAGTTTGGGTTTGTAATGCCAGAAGAATACCCACTTCCAAACTCAGGAAAACAATGCCTGACTAAGCTGTCATCTGCTTTGCAACTCCAGTTCTTGATAATAATACCATTTTTTGTATCTCTGATGCCCTGGTAGCACTGGCCTAAGTCGAGAGGCAGCCGTGCATTTCACACAACAACATCCTCTTAGATCGTTCGTGCAGTCTTTACAGCATCTGAAAGGGAAAAATATTTATAAAAAAAAAAAAAATTCAGGATGTAAACACAGTTTAGGAGCTTCTACTCAAGCATAAGAAGTTTACTCTTCAAAAAATATAAAACTTACACATGGGAAAGAAGGATGACAGACATGATCATGTCGAAGATGAAAATAGTATTAACCATTAAAATGGAGGACTCAGATCCCAAAAACAATTATTCAAAATTTAGATTGTATAATTTTTTGGACTCAGATCCCAAAAACAATTATTCAAAATTTAGATTGTATAATTTTTTCTTTTTTCCCTAGGACAACCTCGATTCTTGAATTCCCAAGGCTGTACCTACTGATGCAATGACGTTACTCCACTTCAAATGTTATTTGATAGTTTTACTTTCCTAGGCAAACAGCATAATTATCTTAAATGATCTCACCTATGTGGAGTCATAAGTACCTAATTTCATAATTAAATTTAAAACTTGGCAAATGAAACGCAACATACAGAAATTCAAATATAAGGGTCGGCTTAGTCACACTCAATTTTTGATACATCTGGTCTATTCTTTCGCAATATAAGAGTCTTGTTATGTGCCATGACGGAGCATTAACCAACCCTACCCTATGTGTCTACGCTGGGATGTTTAGTAAAGAATTTTTTTTTTTTTTTTGGTTAAATCCGGGAAAACAGAATGAAAGTTGTAGAACTGTAAGAGTGTTTCTTTGCGGTTTTGTGGTTTCATGCACAGCCTTGTTTGGAGTCCACCGCAGACTTCCTGTATTCCATCTGCTGTGTGTTTTTTAACTTACACACAACGGCAATTTGGAGCTCAAAGTTAAAACTCGAGTGTGTAAATGCTTCTCTTATAAAATAGCTATTATAAATTTGAGTACAGTTCAACAGTAAAAGTTTATAATGAAACCAAAATGGGGGAAATACTCCAGGGAATAATGAAAATGTTAAAGCTAAACCTTGTACAAGTTTACAGATTCATCAAATTTGGGAAATCATTAAATGCACACACTGAATTCCATTGGTCAAACATCTATCCATTTGCATATTGCATGATGGAAATTCCATTGGTCATGCATATTGCATGACGTGGACAGATTACTGATAATGAACATAATGGCATAAGAATTTCTTAACAAAAAGATCGACAAAAACATTGGATTGGCTACAGCTATACTTCTCTAGTCTACTACAAACTCTGATTTGATACTCACACACACACAAAACCAATGATTTGATGGGTTAATAACATTTTCCTAAGAGAAAATAGCGCAAACTTCTCCACTTTACTCGGGGAAGATAACAAATTTCGAGAGATTTGCAATAAATATCTTGTGGAAATATAGGCTGAGACCTGTTGGAGACTAGCAACATTTTTCTCTGTGATTATATGATCTGAATCTGAACTTGAACATGAATCATTAAGTAGATCACAATTACTCAGGTTTGTATAGCTTGTACAAAACAAAAATAATCTTCTACTAATAAGCTAAGTATTACTAGTAGATCACAATCACTCAGGTTTGCAAAAAATTATGTAAGAGGCTTCAGATCAGAGGATGATTTGAGTAAAAATGCATATAGTTTACTGTCACCAAAAAGCTATTCTAACTGGATATACAGGCAAGGATCTTAAGTTGGGGGAGGCAGTCCATCTCAGAGACATGGAGAGCACCGATTATTGGATGGTCTAAATATGTGTCTAAATTTCATTGTAGGAGTATAAAAGGAAGGGTTTGATTTCGTGAATTGCTTTGTTGATTTACTAGAGATGTTTATGATGGGAGATGAAGGCGATGGGTGGTGGTTTTGCAGAGAGAGTAGAGAGGAGAAAAGAAAAGATATCAAGAATGGTTTAGCAGGGGGCATAATATACTTTTTTATTTTATTAAGGGTAAATTTGATTTTGAGAATTTTGGGTTAAAAACAAGTGTGTTCAGGTATAGCATGCAATTGGATCATCTCATGCACTATTGCCATTCGAAAGTGCATGATGTTCAACAAAGCAAGATTAAATTACACAGCAACGACGAAGTTTACCCTTATAACACTAGGATGCTATGTTTGTAAAAACCTACACAAATACCCCTGAGGTTTTGCACATGATAACTACCAGACCATTCCCTTTAGCTAACTGTTTGGTTTGTCACCGGACATGTTGTCAAATGACCCTTTTAACTTACTAAAAAGGCATCTTTAACCTTAATGTAGCACATGTAGTGACAAAGTGCCCCCCTCAAAACTTTTATATGGACAAAGATGCCCTCCTTACATTTCACATACATGAATGTGCATTCTCTCTCATACAACAACTTAGTTCAAAATATTTTGCAAATTAACAAATTAATGTCCATATTTGAAAATTTTGCAAAAGGTAAATTATATATATTGCAAAATTTATTATAAAATATATGTCAAAAATATTATGGATCATTGGCACCACATCATGAAAAAGATCAATATCAAAACATACTCGTGTCGATTGACTCGTGTGTTGGCAAATTCCTCACCAAAAGATACTTGTGTTAAGTGTCCAAATGTCGATGAGTTGATCACAGGATATCAGTTGAAGACATGGCAGACGTAGAATGCAAGGATGGTGATATTAAATCACTTGACCAAAGGGCATCTAGCCCAATGGTATAACCTCCCCATCCTCAAAGAGGAGGGATGGGGTTCGAGCTCAAGTGTGGGTAAAAAAGTGTGCATGAGTGTGTTTCTTGCCAATGAAAAAAAGATATTCCATCACTTGGATATGCTACAGGTAATGAACTTAGATTGAACTTAAGTTAGCCTATTTTATTTATGGGTTGGGGTTAAAAAAGTTTTGAAAATGTTCTAAAGTATATTGGATTTTTAAAACTGAATTAAAATATGTTTTTTTATGATAATGGTGTTAGAAGCAGAATTCAGTGAAGCTCGATCGAACCTCCATCATGGCTTATGGCGATCAATCGACAAAACTCCAGTAAGGTTCGTTCAATATGACAATCTGTAGATTGATTGAGAATTAAGGATTGTATCAATCAAAGCATATTGGACTAGTGGCGATCAATCGAGGATGTAGGTAGGCTTGTCAACGGATCAGATTTGGATTGAATCGATCAAATCCATATCTGATTTGTTAAGCTAACAGATTATCGGATTCGGATTGCTAATGGGTTACCGGATTGAATGTTCCAATCCATGTCCTATTTAGCTCGGATTCAGATTCAAATTAAAATCATATTCACTGACATATATAGTTATAAGGTTAGGATGGTGCAAAATATAACTATGCAACCAAATGAATATAGTGGTAAATAATTAATATATATATTTAATAGTAGATAACTAATATATATAACATTCATTTATAGTATATTTGTAATGTCATAATAATAATAATATATATATATATATATAATTTTAATCAGATCGGATCATTATCGGATCAGATTACCTATAATCCATATTCGATTTGTTAAGGTAACGGTTTATCGAATTCAAATCATTATCGGAATTTTTTTTCCCAATCCATATTACGGATAATCGGATTGGATTCGAATCAGAATCCGATCCATTGATTGGTCTAGATGTAGGTGATCAATTGAGAAATTGAATCCTACTACGATTAGGACTTTCGTAAATTAGAGTTTTATACGATTTTAGACCTAAAACGTATTTGACACTTTCATTGTCAATAAATAAGGGTTTAGGTCAGATTAAACACAAGTTTTGATGAATCTTTCGTGTCTTAACATATTTGCATATTTTTAAGAAATTTGTGAGAAGTTCAAAAGTGGGTTTTTGGTTTTTGTTTATTTTTACATTCTTGAGTATATTCTTCGCATATTCAATCTAAGAACCATATAGCTTATACTTCAGCAAGTGAATATACATCAAAAGAAGCAGAGAATTCAGTTTTGCTTCCATCAAACGATAATTCAAGAGAACGAACAATCAGTAGAGAAGCAGGTTCGCAGAACAAATGCTATAGATAGATCAGAAGGATGACTTGGAGATCTTCGAAGCAATGCAGATTTGGTATTCTACTGTGTCTAGGGATCAATTAGGAACTCGACTGTAGCGAGATGTGACCAGATTGTACATCTCTTCCTCTATAGTGGATTGTTCCTGGTCTCGTGAGTTACATGATTTTTTACACTCTTCTGAGGGGTTTCCACATAAATTTGGTCTCTCTCTTACTCTCTCTTTACTTTACTTAATTTATTTATTACTCATATTATATTTGAGAATTGGAATTGAGTTGCAAACTAATATTTTCACAAGTATAAAGGTAATGATTAATTGGTAAATTGAATTTAATTTAAAGAGCTGAAAAATATCTATAAATATTCACAAGATCTATTCACCCCCCCTCCCAAGGTCTATTAGATCAGGAAGATCCTTAGTATCGATTGCTAATGTATTGTTTCAGTCCCAACCCCATCAATGCCCATGGAGTGGGATAAACAAGGTGCAGTGGAGGATGTAGAGAGACAGAAGCTAGAGATTTGCATATCCTTGCAGATCAAATTGACAACCACTTTGTTGTAAGGTGTGCCTTTATATTACTTTGCCATGGCAATGAGGATGGCAGATCAGGTTGGGTAGGGGGCAGTAAGAGTGGTGGGTGGCAGGATGATTGTGCCCGAATGCATGGAGGGGTGGTCAGAATCATGGATAGAGGTGGTGATGGTGGTGTCATCAATGGGTTTTAGAGGGAAAGTTAGAGCACAAAACTGTGAGGGTGTGATTGAGAGGGTTTTGATTCTCCACAATCCATATTGTAATTTTTTTGAGTTAATTGCTAGGTATAATATAGACTTCCATACTGATATATATATATATATACACTTTTTAAAGAAAAACCTATTATCATTGCCCAGCTTGCAGCGGTGCTTGGGTGTGGGATCTCCTCTTTCCCATTTCTTATTTGGGCTTGCCTTTGGGTTCACCATCAAGAAGGGTGGGGGGGTGGGACCCTATGGTTGAGAGGTTTAAGAAAAGACTTGCTGGGTGGA